CCCTCATGCCTGGAAGGCAGGTGGCAGCCCGTTCTTGTGAGGAAAGCAGCCCTCCACCCTAGCGAGGGCAGCAAGTTCTGCAAGGACCACCGGGCAGGGCAGGGCAGGGCCCCGGCTGGCCACCCTCCTCCTGCGGCCCTTGATGTCAGCCACTGTGGAGGCCTCAGAAATGTTGCATGCAGATTGTTCATGGGGCAAAGGAGACGCGAGCTGCGATATCTATGGCATGTCATTGGCTTCTCCATGTTGGCTCTTGCGTGGATTAAAAGTCCACAAGAACCTGACTTCTTGAGTGCTGCCCTCGCCTGGGAGGTGGCAGGCCTGGATCCCCTGCATCCCAGCTCCCTGTGTGGACCTCAGCAGGGTTATCTTTTCTCAGGGCCTCAGCCAGATGTGGTGTGGTCTGGGGGATGTGGATGGTGACCCAGCACTGCCGGGAGAGCCGGCACAGTGCCAAGTCCCCAGCCTGTGTCCACGTGCCGGGGGGTGAGGGGGCAGCCATCTCCTCCCCTCCTGCCAGCCTTCCCCAGGCCCCAACATGGCCCTGAGCTTGGCTGGGGAAGTGGAGGGGTGACTGGTGACTTCCCCCTTGGGTGGAGCTGTGTCTCTGCACCAAGGTTTGACTGGGGGCTGCAGATAATGAATCTGGGTTAGGAGTAGGGCCCCAGATTCAAATCCCAGCTAGGCCACCCTGTTTCCTCCGCTGTGAAATGAGGGGAATGATGGCCCTTCCCTCACAAGGCTACTGTGAGGACCAAACGAGATAAAGTGTGTGAAGAGCTCAGGGCCGGCCCTCTGCCCCTCACCTGCTTCCACTGATCATGGCCACAGGTGGGCATGGCAGCTCCCCTCAGCCCCTCCCACTCCCGAGGCTAAACACTCACACACAACACACACAAACACACACACGCGCACACACGGCCTACAGAGGTTGTCTGTCCCTGAGGACCTGAGTGGTGACACCCCTGCGCTTCCTAGTCAGTGGGGCCATCTGCCTTCCAGAGAGAGTTTATCACCTTCCAGATTTCGCAGTCTGTGGCTCAATGGCTCATCCTCCCAGATTCCCAGCAGCAGCATTCTGGGCTGGCCCTCCTACCCCAGTCTCTTCAGCTGTTTGGTAGCCTGACAGGGCAGGCTCTGATGCAGAGCCCTGGGCAGGATCCGACACACGGGCTGGAAGCTCCCGGGTGGGGCTCGAAGCTGGGGGCCAGCTCAGGCCAGCAGGGATGCGATGCTAGGGAAGCCACAAGCCGCTCAGCCTCAAGGCCCCCCCTTGCTGCCAAGGGCTGGAGAGTGACCTCTCTCAGGCCATGCTCCATCCTGCACTTTCTAGGGAGTGGGGTGGTGGGGAGGAGAGGGAAGGGAAGGTGCTATGCCAAGCTGGGTCGTAGCGGGAGGGGAGCCCAGCATGGGAGGGGGGCTTTTACTGGAACCTGGGCAGATCTATAGCCGCCACCCATGTTTACACTGTGGGAAGGGGTGATGACATGTCCTAGAAGGAGGAGGAGGTTGTTGTCTCTAGGGCAAGAACACTGGGTCATGGGAGGAGGGACAGGGGCAGCTGTTGAGGAGGGATGATGCCACAGAGCCACAGCAACCGAGCCCAAGGCCCCCATCACCTGGGGTCAGGGAGAGGAAAGGAAACTGCTGTTGTGCAAGCCAGTGCATGGAGAGCCCGGGAGGGAAAGCCAGAGACCCAGAGTGTGTCCACGTGTTTATTGGCTCATTCATTCATTCACCAAACAAGTATTGGAAGGCCGGCGCTGGGTTACATGCTGAGGACATAGCGTTGAGCAAACTGAGCCAAGTCACTATCCCCAAGGAGGAGAGACAGGCAAGGAGCAATTCACACACGTAAATATGCAATGACAGCTGGCATAAACACTTCTTAAAAAAGGAACTGGGCAGTAGACTGTCAGAAAGGACCAGGAGGGCTTCCCGGAGGTGGTGACACAGGAGCTGGAGCTGGCATCAGAAGGATGAAGAGGAGTTAGCCAGGTGTGAGGTGGCGCTGAGAAGGTGGGCAAGGGCTGAACCCTGGGCATGGAATTGGAACTTTATCCTAAGAATGGAACCACTGAAGAATATTAAGCAGCAAAGTGCGATGACTTGAGTTGTTTCTAAACATCACTCGGGAGAATGGCTTGTAGGAGCAGGCTTGTAAACAGAAGTGGGAGAACATGAGGAGCTACTGAAGTCATCCATGACCACATGGTGGGCCAGGCCGGGGCCATGGAGATGGAAATAAAGGGACTAATTCGAGAAATGTTTGGGACACAAAATCCATAGGGCATGGTGACAGATGAGCAGCCAGGGAAGGCAGCAGTGAAGGGGAAAGTCCTCAAGGGTCAGTCCAGGCTGGGGAGGGAGAGGGAAGTGGGGGATGGCCAGACAGAGACCAGCCTACCAAATAGTAAGTGCATACATTCAAGTCCCAGGCGTTTCCTGCCTCCGAATGCGGCATCTAAGGGCTGCCCTAGGATGCTCTGGTCCACAGAAGAGCGAGTATCACAGTGGTCAGGACTGATTTCCAGAAGCCAAGACCAGGGGGCAGGCAGGGAGCAAGGTGGGTCCCAGACATGGCTATGGAAAGCGGCACCGCAGCAGGCATCTTGGAAGGGAAGCTGAGCTTTCGGGAAATAACCATGGAGAGAAATTGGCTGAAGTCGGAAAACAGAAATCAAGTGCCCATTTGATTGCGTCAGGAAAGTCCCAGCTCACCGGTTCTGGACGGCGGGGCCCTGTGTGTGTTTACTGCCGTGTGTCTCAGGTCACATATTAGGGACTCGAAAATGCTGTTACATAAATAGAACAAGAAGTCAGTATGGAACCTTGCTCTTTACAAAGGCAGAAAACAAACACAGCAAGCAGGTGGTGGAATGCGGACCGGCCCTTCCGGAGGCCTGGGTGCCGGGGCACTCACCTGCCATCTTGCTCAAGTGGGAAGTCCTCCCCTCTAGACCTGAAGGGCCTCCTGCTCACCCCTGCGGTGGTTTCTGGGTTCCCAGAATAGGGATCTGAGTCCAGCCTGATGGGGAGTGGGGCAGGGCTGGGGGGAAAGGAGGTCATGCCCTCTTCCGGGGCCAGGTAACCGGAGCCCAGCACACAGCTGGGCAGGGGGAGGGGCAGAGCACGAAGGAGGCCATGTGCCTTTCCTGGCGAAATGTGATCAGTCAGCCACCCAGTCAGGGGACAGGGAGGGGAGCATGGGATCCATACCCCACTTTAAACCAAGCTTCAGGACACCCCAGAATTCCTGTTATACCTGCGGGGCTCTGCTCTGTCTGGGTACAGGAGGCCCACATCCATCCACACAGTGGAGATGGGAGAGGAGCTCAGCCACCCGAGGGCAGCTGGGCAGGTAGGTGGCCCCACACGGGCTGCAGCCTCCCCATCACCCTTTTTTGTTTTGGACACAGGGTCTCTCTGTGTCACCCAGGCTGGAGTGCAGTAGCATGCTCAATCACAGCTCACTGCAGCCTCAGCCTCCTGGGCTCAAGCATTCCTCCTGCCTCTGCCTCTCAAAAGCTAGGATTACAGGCGTGAGCCACAGTGCCCAGCCACTCCTTGTTCTCTTGCTGCTAACACATCTGCTGAGCAGCTCCTTCTGTGCCAAGCCTTGGAGTGGGCATAGAGGAGTGGACAATGGCTGGCAGGCGAGGGCCAGGAGAGTGGGTGCCAGTCCGCCTCCCCCATTTTGCCCCTGTGAAATCAGCAGTGAGGGAGAAGGGGCCGTCTAGAACGTGTTCTCCATGGACACGTGGAAATTGACAAAGTATTGCACCAACAGGTCTGGGGGGACCAGGAGACAGGTAAGGCGGTCCTGGGGGATGAGTCTGAGAGAGGCTAGACCAGACCAGTGGGCAAGCTGGGCCTGAGCAGACCAGGTAGCATCTCTGGCCAGAGAGGAGGCTGAGCCCCTCACCCACACATGGAGTGGCCCAGGAAAGGCAGCTGGGGCACCAGTGCCCAGGAGAACTTTGGCTAAATGCCCAGGGTAGCCTGATCTTCCTCATACTGGTCCAGGGTTATTTGGACCTGAAGCCTGTCCCTTGATGAACCCTGTCCTTTGCCCTCACCCCCTCTCTCCCAGACCACGCCGTCAGCAGCCTGATTCCTCAACATCTCAGGAACCCACCCTCTCCTTTCCCCCACTGCCCGCCTCCCGATGAGGCTAGAACTCTTCTAGAGGACAGCATCTGTCTGCTTGCCTCTGAGAGTTTTAAACACAAGCCTGACCCTGACTCTTTCTGGCATAAAGCACCTTCGTTCCTCCCAGAAGCTGAGGACAGAGGCTGGTGAGGCCGCCTTGTCCCTGCCCCATCTCTCCCCAGGCCACCTGCAGGCTTCCACCTCCCTGACCCTGCTCCTGCCTGCCTCTGGGCCCCTGCACAGGCTTTCCTGTAGCTAGAGCCCCCTTCTCACCACCCTCTGCCACTCAACCAAATGACCCTGTTTCTCCTTCAGCTCTCAGCTGCTCTCCTTGTCCAGGACGGCCTCCCAGCTCTCTGCAAAGTCCTCTGTTCTCTCACCAGACACTTTTCCTGGAGTTGCCCTCTGACTTGCTGAGCCCCCCAGCTGTAATTCTGACATTGGAGGTGCTTGGTCATCGCTAGCAGAGGGCTTCAAAAAATGCTTGTTGATGGATGGATTGTCCTCAGCCTGACTGCTGACTGCCTGACTTCCTTCTCTCTGGCAGCCACAGTCTGGGCTAAGCTGAAGTGAGGTTCCTGCAGAGAGGATGGGGCAAGAAGCCCAGCAGAAGGGAAAGCAGGAACCTCCCAACGTGAGACTCACCCCTTTTCTTTTGAATGAGGAATCAAAAAATAACCAGGGGCCTTGGGGCGATCGGCCCTTGGTGCCCAGGTCCTGACATGGTGCGGGCAGCTGAGCTGGACTCTCCCCTGCCTGAGATCACTCCTCCTTCCCCCCGCCCCCCTCCCCCACTTCTCTCTCCTCCTCTTGACCCCTCCCTCCCAGCCCCTCTGGCTCTGCCCCAGAGCAGCAGAACATCCAGCTGACAGCTGGACATGCCAGTCCCCTCCAGCCCTTCCCCAGAGGGTCAGGTGACCCTTCCCTTCCCAGAAGGAAGACCTCACGCACTAGGGCTCTGGCGGACAGTGAATGCTCCACGCTGGGACGGGCCCTTGCTGATGCCTGTACATGGTGGGCACTGAGAGACAAGATTCCCGAGCTGTGCCTTACACACTCTCCACGACCTCGGAGGAGGCTCTGGTGAGTGCTGCCTTGTGGGCAGGGCTGGGCAGGGCTGGCCTTACTGAGCCTTTGCGGGGCTTGAGGGGAGAGAGGTCTCGTGTCCACAAGGCCTGTCCATAGTCTGGGGTCTCATCTCCATTCCAGACTGGCCAGGAGTCTGCCCCATGGAGGGTCCAATGTCTTCGTGGGGGTCTGTCCATCTGTGTGCGGCGGGGTGGGGAAGGGCGTTGGGATGGTCAAGCATGTAGGAATTCTGGCATTTGTTCCTCTTTCATCCTTCTCCCTTCTCCCAGGGAAATTCCACCCCTCCCCTTCCAAGGGTACCTGGAGCCCTCACTTCAGGGTGGACTGGGACTGCAGAGGAAGCTGGGGGGATGGACAGGTACAGGGGGCTGTGTTAACCCTTAACAGAGGCAGGTGTCCAAGAAAGGCGGGCAGCATCCCCGGGGCCCAGGAATGGTATGTCCTAGCCCAGCAGCCCCAGCTTTCCACAGGATGGGTGGGAGGCGGGCGCAGGGTTGGTGACATCAGTACCTACAGCAGCTGCCTGGGGCCTAGTGCAGGGTGGTGGCAGACCACAGGATGGGGGCCACAGGGGTCATGGCATGTCTCCACCAGGCGGTGGTCCCTGCTGGCCTGGGCAGTGGCACAGTCTTGCCCCCTACCCTGGCTCTTCTAGGTCCCTTGGTGAACCGGAGACCTGAGCTTGCCTTGTGGTGCTCAGGGTCCCTGGGGGCCTTAAACCCCCCCATGCTGGGCCCCTTCCCCAGAAATTCTAATCCCATGGGGAGGGACTCAGGCTTCTACATTTTTTTTAAAGTTACCCATTCATTTTTTAACCTTTTATTATGAAAAACTTCAAGCATACAGAAAAAACAGAGGGAACGATCTCATGAACACCTGTACATTCTGTGCCTGATTTCAGCAGTGACCTGACTTTTGTCGTATTTGTTTCATCAAATACGCTGCAGCAGCAGTATTCTGACATCACAGCGTGCCTCTCTCCTGCCACAAAGTCCCCAGTAGGTCCTCACATAACCCAGTCCCACTGTCCACTAACAGATGAACAACTCCCCATGAGCATCTGCCTCCTTGCCCCAGCGGGCGCTCAATGTGTGCCGATGCTTTGTCAGAAGAGGATCCAGGCGAGAGGCATTGGATCAGCAGGTCTCTTAAATCTTTTTCAATTGGGAAGAGTCTCCGCCAACCTCCCGACCCCCACCATGGTGATTTTCCCCCACCACATTGCCTTGCTGAATCCAAGGGGGTACTGTCCCATAGGAGGGTAAGAACATGGCAGGGTCAGACAGCTCTCAGTAACAGAGGGAAGCTGAGGCCTAGAGAGGCAGGCACAGGCAGCCTGAGGCAGAACCAGGTCTCCTGTCCCCTCCCGGGCCACTTCTCTGCATCTCTGCCCCACAGGGTCCTCTGGGGCCCTCCCCATCATCGCCCTGCTGCTTCCAGGGGCCACAGGGCAGGCTGAGCCCACTCCCTGGCCAGCGGCATCTCCTGCTTTCTCCAGAGCACTGAATAAATCCTTCCCAGACAGAAATCTGGATGGCGGCTCTCTTGTTCACCGGCAGCCACAGGGAACAGCAATAAACTTTATGAGCATCAGGTCCTTCAGGGAAGAAGCCTGCGCACTGGCTGGGGAGGCGAAGGGTGGGCGCGGGAGCAGGAGGGGCGTGCTGCACCTCGGGCTACCTTTGCAGCGTGTTACCTCAATACTAGTCACTGCAACTCATCCAGGGCTGGGAGGCCCACCTGGCAGCTGAAAGGCCTCATCCACCCACCAGGGGTGCCACAGCCTGGGTGGGACAGACAAACGGAGTGGAGATTGCTGGAGACCCCGTCCTGCTCTGTCCAGATGGGCTCTCAAGTGTCCCAGCCCCTCCCCCAGCCCATTCCCATCTCCTCCCCCAAAGCCCCTGACCCTGATTAAGCATGGGGAGGGGAGAGGCAAGAGGAGATGCAATAGAACGTTGTGGGGAGAATCCAACCTCAATGATGGCTTCTGAGCTTTTCAAAAACACCTGCCTGATGGAGGCAGAACTTCAGCCACCATCAGGGCTCTCTGAGACAGGTCTGGGCAAAGCCAGGCAAACCTAGGGCCTGTCCAAGAATGTGTCCCCCGGTCACTGGGCAAGGAGGTGGATGCTGGCTTGAGTTTTCAGTTAATCCTTCTCAGGCATTTCTGGCCTCAACACGTGTGCTGCTGCCCTCTGCTGGGGAAAGACCTTGCCTGCATTCTCCCTCAGCCTCACACTCGCAATCATGCACAAGCATTCACAAGCACCCACACAAACACAAACACACATGCACATAATATGCTCCTTCCAATTATTGTGTTTTGACCTTAAAGAGCTGTTCCTTCTTACAACCATAAAACCACCATGCTAATCACTGGCAGCACCTCGTGTCTGTGGTTCACGGGCCTCCCGCACAAGACAGGTGGTGGCTGATCATATTACTTAGAGGAAGGCGGCAGGTGTGGGGCAGGGTGTTGGAGGCTGGGAAATCTGTAGGCAGGTCTGGGTGTTTAGCAATATCCAAGATCCTGGGTGCAGCTTCAAGAGGCAAAGTCCAGAGGGAAAAAGCACGGCTGGGAGGGGCTGTCAGAACAGTTACTAACCATCATGCCTGAGGAGCTACGTGTCCAGGGGTCAGGATCTATTAGGGGGGCAAGAGGGAGAAGCCCTCGCAGCCTTTGCCTCCCCAGAGCAGCCCTTCCAGTGGCACTCGGCTTCGTGAGTCATCTTTCCCCCATGTTTCTCCTGCCTTGACATTGAGATCAGAACATTGTTGGTCCTGCTAAGTACATTTGTCAGTGGCTGAAGGGCTTCTAAACTAATAATCACTGTATTAAAATCATATTTGGTCCTCAAGCTGGAGAAACGTTGGGAGATTTTAAATGTTAAGAGAAGAAGAAAACCCTCTCAAAGAATAAAATCAGCCCCGAAATAAGTTCCCATGACTGAGGAATATAAAGTATTGCTCTGGGATTCTAGAAATCAAGCCTTCCCTGGGAAGTAGATGCTCTCCAAAGCCACATATTTCAGCCACAGCTGGGAAAGTGATGTGTGAAGTCCCCCAGCGCTAGGTATTGATCCCACTGAGCCCGGGAGCCACGTGGGCGAAGGGTGTGGCATCCTCCAGTTCTTGAGTCATTTTTCGAATGGATTTAAAAACTCCATTTTCCCCCCTGGAAATAAGCCTGTGACTTCCAGCCTGGATGGCCTCAGATGATGCACAACCCTTCAGCCACGTGAGAAACTCCAAATTTCTCCTGCCCATTACAACCTAAGCGGTTTTAAATGGTTTTCGGGTCCTCTCACCTCTAATAGATTAAAAAATGCTCCCGTGGGCATCACAAAGACATTGAATGGTACTTGTACCAAACCTCTGGCTCTGAGAGGCCTGTGAAATGTACGTTAGAGCTTCAGAGGCGAGAGGGCAGGCTATAAACCATGCTGCTTTTGAATTGTGCTGCCTGCCACATTTTATATTACAGTTTTCTTCTGCTACGAGCCGTTTCTTAATTATCTTCTACCCAGAGAGCCCTCTCCCCAACACCTAAGATTTACTAGAAGGTGATCCCAAAGACTTCAGCACCTTGGTGCTCTCAGGGGACCACCTCCCTGCACTGAGCTGGGGCCCAGGCCAGCATCTCCTCTGGCTGGCCAGGCTGGGCTCCCTCTCCATCCCCCTCCACTGCCGGCTGCCTCTGCAGGCGCCTCCCACCCTGTGCAGGTGTGGAAGCATGGGCAAGGCCAGCCCAGCACTCCCACATCCTCCTTCCTCCTCCACACAACACTCCCCTCCAGCCACTTCCTCCTGCCCTGTCCTTGCCCTTCCCTATTGCTCCCTGTACACATGCTCCCCGAAGCAGACCCTCTCCAAGCTCCCCAAGGCTGAGCTAACATCTCTCCTCCTCCTGGACCCCTTCCCGGACCCCTCAAACCACCCCATCTCAGCCAGGAGCAATACCTCTCCTAACCTCTTCTCCAGGACCCATTTGTCAACATAGTGTTTTTCCTATCAGTGCCTATGCAATACTCATTATACTTTTAGGATCTACCTAAAAGTATAATTGAGAAGATAGATTGATTGAGAAGATAGATGATGACAATAATGATTAGGAATTCGATAATGCCTTTAAATGAATTTGTATTTTAGTAATTACCAACACAATTTACATACATTTGAGAATGATCTCGCCTCTGGGGGTTACCTTCCTACTCGGCAGATTATGGTGGTGTGGACTTGGGTAAGGTCTTGGCCAGCCCCCAGGTGGGGGCCCTCACCGAGGGCCCTAAGAATCCATGCTGCCGAGCGCTCCATTACGCTGCCCAGCAGCAGCCTGCTTCCCCTGGGTGTGCGGCTCTTGTTGCCCAGCCAGGTGCAGCTTCTGAAAGGCTCACTATCCTGACACAGGTTTCTGAGGCATATAGCATAGAGAGGGCCCCAGACAACACCCTGGCCCCAAGAGCCTGACTTGGGTCTTGTTCCTGGGTCTGTGAGACTCCCAGGCCAGAGCAGCTCAGCTCACCATCCAAGGGGACTGCGCGGGGTCAGAATGGGCGTTGACTTTAGAATGGCACAGACTCGCCATGGCCAAGTTCCAGCACTCGTGCCTGCTAGCTTGGGACCCCAGGAAAACTCTTCATTCTGACTCTCAGTGTCTCCATCTGAAATTTCTCATCTGGAGAAACAGGTGTGAATATAAATCCATGGGTCCAGAGTTGACCCTTAGGAGTGGCTCTGATATGGGATATGTTTGTGCAATGAACTAGTTGAGTACCTGACTCAAGTGAAGTTGTTGTTTTTTTGTTTTGTTTTGTTCTGTTTTGCTGAGATGGAGTCTGGCTTTGTTGCCCAGGCTGGGGTGCAATGGCATGATCTTCACTCACTGCAATCTCTGCTTCCTGGGTTCAAGCAATTCCCCTGCCTCAGCGTCCCGAGGAGCTGGGATTACAGGCATGCGCTGCCACATCCGGCCAATTTTTTTTTAACATTTT